GACCTGTCTGTCTCCTCTCCACGTATCTTCTCCTTTATCCATCTTCTGTCCGCCTCCCCCCTCTCCCTATTTATTTCAGAACCCCCTTCCCCTCCCCCATTTCTGAAGAAGGGTCGAGGCCCGAAACGTCAGCTTCCCTGCTCCTCTGATGCTGCTTGGCCTGCTGTGTTCATCCAGCTCTACACCTGGTTATCTCAGATTCTCCAGCATCTGCAGTTCCTACTATCTCTTAAAAAAGAAAGATCTGTTGAAGCTTATTATGAGTCAAACAGTGACCATGAAAGCATGGTCAGGAAAAAAAAAAAACCTATCTGGTTCACTAATAGCCTTTAGTGAAGGAAACTGCTGTCCTTACCCTGGTCTGGCCTACCTATGACTCCAGATGCACCAGCAACATGGTTGACTCTGAGAAATGAGTGATAAATTCTGGCCTAGCCAGTGATGCCCACATGCTACGAATGAATAAAAAATAAAAAAAAATTAAAAAGTGGTCTCCTATTTATTGCAGACACCAGTAGGACTCTTTTCCACTCATGTTAGCCTGTGGAATGCTCCTCCCTTATGAAGAGGGAAGACTGATTTAAATGGATTTTTGATAGACAGTAGAGTTCAGGGTTTTAGGGACAGACAGAAAAGAGATGAGACCATGAACTTGTCAAACAGTGAAGCTGATCGAGGGACCTGTTGGTCTTCTGCTCAAAATTATTGTATAGGCAGTAGGATACTTGAATAATTTACAAACCCAAAATTTGGAACTACTCACAAAACAACATCAGAATAAAAGATGAGAAACTCCAATTAGCCAATTTACTTGATCCATCTCATGGGACCTCCCTCATTCACCACTATCCAATTACAGCATTTGATAAGAGGAAACATTGCCTATTAATTTACCAAGAAGCCAAAGGCATTTATTACCAGATCATTAATTAAAAAAAAAAAGACTTTTGATCTGGATGTGTAAAGACTTTCCAAAACATACAACAGCATTAATGCAAGTTTCAGCAGGCCAGGCAGTATCAGAGAAGGAAAGCTGACATTTCGGGTCAGGACCCTGTTAGGCTTCACAGGGGTAGCATGCTTTTTCTGAAGGGTCCCGACCTGAAACGTCAACCTTCTTGCTCCTTTGATGCTGTCTGGCCTGCTGTGCTCCTCCAGCTCCACACTGTGTTATCCAGAACTTTAACGAATAATGTTGACAATTCAATGGTATAATAGCAATTCTTGTTAAGTACAGAAACCTGGTCCATACTCTGTGAACCTGAGTAAACTGGAGAAAGTCTGCACACTTTTCAAAATCTTATTTTTTGTGGCCAGAACATGGGTTTCTAGCACAGATAAGAACTGCCAATGCTGGAGTCAGAGATAACACAGTGTGGAGCTGGAGGAACACAGCAGACCAGCAGAAAAGCTGATGTTTCGGGTCAGGACCCTTCTTCAGAAAAAGCATGCACCCCTGTGAAGCCTAACAGGGAAAAACCCTTCAGTTGTGTTAAATCCCCAGTTGCAAGATGATGGTTCATCATCACCACTAGCACTCTAACTGAAGTGAATGCACAGGTCTCTATCAGGGAGGTGCATGGATGAACCTGGATCATAATAATGGCCACAGAACACATTTTAATTAATTGTTTTGCCAATCTTGCACTAAATGGTATTGCTTTCTTTACAGGCAGTGAAGCAAGAGATCAGCACATTGGAAACCGTTCCATTCTGGTTTACTGGATGCTAACAAATTGGTACAATGCATCTTTTCTGATTATGTGAGATGGCAGATGTTTGCAGCCTTTCCGTTCATGTGTACTGAGAAATGGATTAAGATTATCCAACTGTTCAACATCTTTGTCAGCCCACTGTAATGAGCTTATCACTGTCAGTGTCCCATTGATGTATATGCAATCGACAGTCTACAGGATGGAAAGTGCTGAACACACTTCATTGGAAAATGGAGGAAGTAGTCAATCACAGCAACAATGCAGTTAAGTCACAGAGTTTATTTAAATATTCTTCAACATGAAGCTTCTGTATACAAACTTTAAATAGTTGTTTACAACACATGCACAGGCATATGATGTGAAGCCCTGCCTTAAAAATTCAAATCTCAGCTAACGCAAATCAACGCTCATACTTTGTATTCAGAAACGTCCAAATGCAGCTTCCAGTTGGAAATAACACCAAATTCATTATTCCGAATAGAGGGGTGAGGGCTTTCTAAAAAAAGTGGTTCATATAACATTTAATCTCTTAAATATGCAAAAGATTTATCATTCAGAGCACAAAAGCAGACCTAGGTTGCTAAAACTGTACAACAGCTGGACATTTTGGAATTATTTATATTAAAAAAACACAACCTACCTCATGACTGCAAGCTCCTAAAGCGCACTGGTGTACAAAATATACAAAAGCATTAAGATATAAAAGTTCTAAAGACGCCAGACCACCACCTCAGCAGTACTCATGGAATCCAGTAGCCTCTCTTGGCGATTTTGATAAGTGCTGCATCCCAAATCAGAGCAAGCATAGGATCAAATGCTTCAAATAGTTTTGCTCATTTAAAACGTTGAAATTTGGCTCAGTGCTTCAGCCAAGGATGTGCAGCAATTGATGCTTTGCTTCTGTCTCCATAATCGTAAAGTAGCTCCTCACCCTTTGCGATGTCCCGAGAAGCAACAAGTATAAGGTGTGGCTTCCCATCAACATCATGTAACTTGGTCTGACAGTTTCCGTTCTTGCTGTGGTTGATCAACCGGCCGAGACGTGTAGTTTCCTTTGTTGCGTCCACACTAAAACACAAACCAAACTTGAAACAACATTTAAGAGAAGGGAAAAAAGAAGCACGCCTCTTAAGACCAGTTAGATAACAGAACACAGCAGTCATCTCGAATCTATAGCTCAAAAAGAGACCATTCAGTCCATTTGATTTATGATGATTATATCCTATGATCCTCCTTACAGTCAATCTTGCCCCACCAGTGTATTTTTCTTTCCTTTTTGTGTGTTTATTGAGCTTGCCCTTAAAACGTATCTGCAATTTGCCTTGATTAACTCTTGATAGCAAGATCCACATTTTCCCCTCAGTGTCAAGGTCAAGATGTTGAACAAATGCAAAATTCCCAGGAGTTATAGCTGAAGTCTCAAGATAACACTTTCCTCCAAAAGAATAGGGAAACAGAATGCCCACTTATTTTAAGTGACTAACATTGCTTCACCTTAAACATGGAGCTGTAAAAATAAATGACTGTTCTAATGAAGAGGTTTCCCCCATTAGTGGAATTAACTTGTGAATCAAACCACACATGCAATTGAAACCCAGTGGAAGCTGGGAATCTGGGAATCTAAGATCTGCCAGCAAAACTGTTGCATGTGTGCAGAAAGCCCTTTCCATCTTTGTTGCCAGAAAGCAGCAGAGGCCAAAGCACGGGATTCTATTTAACAGATTGCATCTGGAAGCAAAAGATCAAATTAACCCACATTCCTGCTTCATTTGAAGCTGATCTTGTGAAAAATATTTTAACAAGTCTATTAGCTGTTTACACAGCAGGGTTGAAATTTTCACTTTAAGTTCAATCCAGCAAAGGTTCAGTGAAGAATTTGTAATCACATACATCTCAGCTGGCTGTGACAGAGCTACACTATGAATTACACAAACAGGGTTTCCATGACAACCTAGAAGCCAGCTCAATGCAAATAGGCAGCTGTAGCTTTGCCACGACTGACTGTACGTGTTTTCGTCCCATTGGATAAACCACAGGTTCACATTCAAAGTGGCACTGCAGCTTAAAACAGATGAAAACAAAAAGATGGATGTTAGGTATGCTAAAAATTTGAAATAAAAAGCAGAAAGTTCAGGAAACATAGCGAGTTGCTGAAGTGCATGATCTTTCCTAAGTCTCCAAATCAGCAACTGCTATTTTCAAAAAAGAACAGTGCAGCAGGTATTCGGAATACCATTAGTTCAGAGCTCCCCACCAGACGGCCTGACGTGGAAATATAGCACTGTTCCTTCATGGTTGCTGGGAAAAAATGCTGGAACTCCCTCCCTAACAACACTGAGTCTACCTACAGCACATGGAGCACAGTGGTTCAAAGTGGCGGCTCACCTCCACCTTCACCAGGGCAATTAGGGATGAGCAATAAATGCTGACCCAGCCAGCAATGTTCATATCCTGTGGACGAATATAAAAATGTCAACATCCTAAAACCTTAATGCGGGTTTTCCCTGGTCAAAGGCTGACTGACCTGCTGAGTGTTTTCTGTTGAAGTAAGAAGGGTAAAATATTGTTAGAATAATTCAAGGCCAAATTAGTGATGCGAGGCCAGAAGTGTTACAGAAGTCATGTACTGCAATATTTACAACATTTAAAATGATGTTTGGAATCTATTTGCTGGTTTCCCATGGCATTGCACACAGGGAGCAGAGGAAATTTTAACTTTCAACACCCTGCCCTTCAATCACCCATTGATAAAAGTTTAAAATAACCCAAATGAATGACAAGTAATGTTAGGACAAGGACAATGGAATTGATAATGGAGAAGGTGCAAGTCAACAAACAATGTTGGTAGTGAACTCAGCAAGCACAGTAGGTATGTGCATAGTAATAAAAACAAAGTACTGCAGATGCTGGAAACCTGAAAAAAAAAACCCAGAAATAGCTGGACAATTTCAGCAGGTCTGGCAGTACCTGCACAGAGAAAAGCACGAATTAACACTGAGTCCAGTGATCCTTTGTCAGAACGGACTGAACTCTGCTTCTTTCTTAATAAAAAGCGAACAGTCATGAACAGTCCCGGTTAACAACTATTCACCCTCCTAGCTAGATAGTTATCAACTCCTTTGTTTATCCAACTACTCTTCTCTTTAGATTCTAACCTATCTTTTACTCCCTACCCCATCCCCCTCCCTATTTTCTGCATATAAACTGATGTCTTCCCAGTTACCATCAGTTCTGCGGGGGGGTGGAGAGGGGGGGCGAAGAGAAGGGTCACCGGACCCGAAACGTTCACTCCTGATTTTTCTCTCCACAGATGCTGCCAGACCTGCTGAGCTATTCCAGCAACTTCTCTTTTTGTTTCTGCTTCTTTCTTTACAGATGCTGTCAGACCTGTTAAGTTTCTCCAGCAATGTCCATTTGCATAAAAGGTGCATCAGGAAAGGTCAGACAGGTTGGAACTGCGCTCAGTTTCTGGGTACCACACTATTGGAAGGACGTAATTGCATTGTAGAGGGTGCAGAAGAGGTTCACCAAGATGAAAAGTCTCAGATACAAGGAGGGACTGGGTTTGTTTTACTTGGAGCAGAGGAGGCTAAGGGGGAATCTGAATGAGTTGTACAAAATTGAGAGGAATAGCAGACAGTGGGAATCTTTTCCTCATGACAAGTGTCTAAGACCAGAGGGCATAACTTTAAGGTGGAGTAAGTGGTTTAAAAAAAGAGACTTGAGGAAAAAAAAATTCAGAGGGTTGCAGAAATATGGAATGAGCTGCCTGAGAAGGTGGAAGAGGCAGGTACTCTCAACATTTAAGCACTTAAAAATGCCAGCACGTTGGAGGCTATGGACCAATTACAGGTAAATGGGATCAGTGTAGTTTGGTATGTGTTGAGACCACAATCAAAATCAGCCATGATTTTGAGTAGTGAAGCAGACTGAAGGGTTGAATGGCCTACGTTGCTCCTAGTTCTCATGTTTATAAAGAGACTAACAAATATACAAAGATGAAAAGGAGGACTCACCAGTATGTTTTACTGAGGTATTGAAAATAGTACATGTAGCAGCCAGTGGAGGGATCTTGTGCATATTTAGCCTCTCTATTCTTTGCATCTGTAAATTCAATGAGATCGCCATTGTATTCGACCACAAACTCTCCACGTTGGAAAGGTTTTGTAGCCATCACGCCGCGACCTTTTCCATCGATTATACCGACCTGGAAGAACAGAGAGAAAACAGGTCGAAGGCTTGCCCAGTCGAACCACAGGTGGGGGCTATAGTCAATGTAGGCACAAACACCAATTCCAGTCGAAAAGACACATTTCACTTACACATTCAGCAACGAAGGAGGTAAAACACAAAACTATCTGTTTTCTTTCTTGCTGACAATAGAAAGAAGTGAAAACAGCTGGGGGAAAAGGAGAGCAAGTGTGCATGTGAGAGAGGACAAACATGAGTGAGTTGCAATGCTCATCTCTTAACCATGGGTAACCCAGAATGACAATTAATGCCAGTTTAGTGAATCCACCATTTTAGCAGCCAGGGCACAACTTAGTTGAATCTACTGCACCACCCAGATCCCCAGACAAGTCCCCTTATCATGTAACACTTTCCAGTCTTTCAAATGGTACCTTCATTCCTTCTTCCTTCCCATTGCGAATCAGATCATCAATTATTTTCTTTTCTTCTGACTGTTGGAGGAAGAGGAGAAAAGAGATCAAGCTGAGTGGTGTTTGAACTTTCCAATGTCAATATGTGGATTGTACAATAAATCAACACTAAACCAACTGCCCATTGCAGCAGTACAAGACAGCAGTAGAGAGAACAACTTGTGTTAATTTAAATTAGGACTCAATTCCCTGTGCTACTGCAAGGGATACTAATATAGACTTACCTTCAACTGTCCTTCACACTTCCTGCAACTCCTGCGAACAGGATAATAATCAGTGACCTTGCGATTCCGGCCCACTGGGTTTTTCACGCTGTGGGGAAAGATATTTCAGGACAAAAAGCCATTGTAGGACAAAAGGCAGGAGTGATAAATCCATCAAAGTGTTTTTCCTGAAATTCACCTCTCTCCCTCTCGCAATCTGCTGATTAAATACAAGTTACTGCTTCACCTATGTGCACAGTTAAGCAAATGCAAACCCAACAAGCATCAACATCCCAGATGAGGTCTGTGCTGACAGCTGCTTGCAGGCCAGATGTTCCAAATGTTCAAGCTATCTCTTTTGGGGAAGACTTCATCCTCCCTCCTTAGTTGGTACAAATCAAATACACTTCAAAGGGACGATACCATGACTCCTCCACCAACACATCAAAGTTGTGGATGTTACAGCTCCAAGTCCTCACTCTGTTCAGTTCACACAATCCTGAACATGGATGCTCCATAATGTTCCTGAAAGGAGTGAGAAGAGCCTTCAAGTTGCAACATTTAATCTTGAGGAGCTGGTTTGTGGGAGAACAAGTAACATGTCGAGAAGCCATCCAATCTAAAATAATTAGGGAATCAACAGAAATATAGAATTAAACAGCAAAGGAGGTCTGACACCTTAATGCGCTTGTCCATTCCTGTGAAACACCTATCCAATTAGTTTTGCGTCTTTGCTTTTTCTACCTTATCCCTGTGAATGTTTCCCTTTTTCTTAAAAAAAAGAGCATCCATTCAATTAATCTTTTGAATGTTACAATTGAATCTGTGCCCACCATCCTTTCATGCAGCATATTCCAGATCACAATTTGCTGATTAAGTCTACTCAACCCCTATTGTTATCTTTAATCTGTTTCCTGTGATTACCCGCAATGGAAACAGTTTCTCCTTCCCAATTCTGTTGAAACTCTTTGCTTGAGATGACAAAGCACAAATGCAACAGATGATTAAAAACTTACCCTGTAGGTTTTGAAGATTTCCCTTTGCCTTTCCGCTGAACAGGTTTTGCGCTTGTTTTAGGGCCTTTCTTGCCCACAGAACACACAGCAGCTGACCCATCCTTTACAGCAGTTTCACTGTCAGTATGGGTGACATTTGCTGCAGTTTCTGCTCCTTCCTCAATGATCACGTTTGTTTCACTGCTCAGTTCCCTACTGGGATTGGTGGAATGGTCAGCATCAAACACACAACTGTTTTGTTCATCTGCAGGTACAATAGATATGAAAATTACAAAGCTAAGGTGAAATAATTACAATAATTGAATTCAAAATAAGCAATTCTGCTCTCTGTGACCAACCTTATGTTTCTGTCTAAATTCTCAGGACCGTAACTTAAAACAGTAAATAAAGTGACTAAATAAAAGGAAAATGGATGACCACTTGAAAAAGAGAATCCTGAAGGACTCTGGGTAAGAACAGGATACAGGATTAATTGTGTGGCTGTTCAATGAAATCAGCACAGATGAGATGGGCTGAATAAGCTCCTTTCAGATCTTTGTGATTCAATAAAATTAAACATTTTTGAAACTCCCCTGGATAGCACCTCCAATGTGTTGTAAATGGAACCCAAAAGCATTCAACTGTCATATAAAGTCTATCTTCAGCCACGGCTACAGAACAGACAGTCACTGGCGTCACTGCTCCACATCACTGGCTTGTAGATTCTGGTTGGAATAAACAATTTTGTGACTAGACAGGCAGTTTGCCAGCTGGAAATTTGACCAGTGAAACTCTCAAATGTCACGTGTATGCTAAGAAACACAGCTGGATATTTGACTGAAGTGCTTTACTAGGCTGAGGACTACAGGATGTCTATTTCAGTTCAGCACTGAACACTTTCCTGAGGCACCAAGGTTGGAGTATAACTTGAAACAAAAATCACCCAGATCTGGGAAGCTCCACAAAAACCACTAATGGAGGCCCTTAAAGTGATAAAAGGGAATATGAAAAGGTCTCTGATGGAACAGTCCACAACAAAGAGAGGTATAATTTTAAAATTAGGGCGAGGCTGCTCAGGGAAGATATCAGAAAGCAATTCACTATGCAAAGTAGAAATATGAAACTCTCCCTCCCTAATAAAAGCTCTAAACCTGAGGGGTGGGCATGATTAAAATGCTCAAGATGCTATTCAGATTGTTAGGATAAAATGCATCAAGTAATATGGATCAATAGTAAAAAAGGACAGGATTCAGATCAGCTATGATTTAATTCAATGATAGATCAGGTTGGAGGGCTGAATGGCCTCCTCCTGCTCTTACATTTCTCTTCCAGTTCATTTGCTGACCTCAATTTTAAAAGCACTGCTAAGTTCTTTGCTCTTCAAAGGCATTGCTAAAATGTCACTGAAGAACTATTGTAAATAAGCAGAGCTCAAGAACACACTATGTGGGTGTTTGAGTTTGAAACTGCAGCCTCTTCCCACAAAACCGCAGTTCAGGACAACTGACATATTCAAGGTAGTACCAATCTGAAGCCATCCTTAGCAACTAGGCTCAGGCTAAGATTAACATACTCTTAATACACAGTATCGTCAGATACGTTAGGGACATTCAAAAGACTCTTGGATAGGCACATAGATGATAGTAAAATGTAGGGTATGCAGGGTAGTTTTGATCTTAGAATAGGATAATAGAGCGGCACAACATTGTGGGCCGAAGGGCCTGTAATATTCTGTACTGTTTTGTTTTACATACAAGGCAAAACAAAAAAACAAGACATTGAACTCAAACTGACTAATGACTTACATTTGCACACTGATGCAGAACACCTGACATCTCAATGCCATGAGCATCCTGACCTCAAGGATTATCCAGATCTGAATGAACAATGTATTTCTGTAATTATATAGGTGTATATGTATTTCTTACACCTATGCAGCAACATCGTAATGATTGGTGCAGGACATCAGACCCAATGTCACACTAAGTAAATAGAGGCCTTCTGAAGCTGTGTGCATTCTTTACAAATTTGCTTCCGAAACATCTGCAGGAATTAACATCACATACCTCCTTCCTCTTTCTGCATTTCACGTCTTACAGTACATGTGACTTGAAACTTCATTTGTTTATTTGAATCAGAGTTTTCATCTTGTAGTGGGGCTCGAGGAGCAGGTGTTTTTACAGGGCTCAAACGATGACAGATCTTGGATTTTACATGCACATTCTTCTGGTGAAACACATACATTGTTCAGCAAGAAAGGGAAAGAATTTAGTTATGGAGCATTTTACAATATGTATCAAAGTGTTTCAAAGTAATTACTCAACTGTTAAATACTTTAGTGAAAAGATAATTTACATGCAAGATCTGCCAATTGGGGAGATGATGGCCTAGTGATATTATTGCTAGATTGTTAATGCAGAGACCCTAGTAATGTTCTCAGGAACCAGGTTTGAATCCCACAGCACATGGTCACGAAAGCATTGCTGATTGTGAGAAAAAAAAAAGTTAGTTCACTGATGCCTTTAGACAAAGAGACTGCTGTCCTTACCTCATCTGGACATACATATGACTCCAGCCCACAAAAATGTGGTTGATTCTCAACTGCTCTCTGGGCAATGAATGCCTGCCTAGCCAGCAATGCCCTCATCCCATGAATGCATTAAAAAAAACCAACAGCAATAAGATAGCCCAGTTAGCTCAAAATGACCATCTCAGTTAATTTGGTAGGTTCATAACATTATGCAGTCAATGACAAAAGACATTGTTGCTTGCAAACAATCGAGTTACTGGAGTGGGAAGGCATTACCATGTTGCACAGTTAGCCAGGGTAGAACCTACGCCTTGAAGTTATGAACTGTAATCAACAATCAATTTTTACAGCCCACAATACCATCCATTAATGTCATTGGGTCAAAATCCTGGAATTCCCTCTAAGGAGATTGTGCGTCTACCTACAGCACATGGACAGCAGCGGTTCAAGGCAGGTCACCAACACCTTTTCAAGGGTAACTAGGGATGGCAATAGATGCTGTCCCAGCCAGCGATGCGCACATCACATAAGTGAACTGAAAAAAAAAGTTTCAGCAGCTTCTGCTCAGAATTTGAGGTATAGGCTGAACGCGAGCTTGTGCGATGCATCAGGGAAGGGAAATGCACCTGGATTCTTTGAACCAGGAGGCACTGCCACTAGCACTAGTTAGGATAAGGTCTAATTTGATCAATGGTCAGGGACAGGAAACGATGACAGTGAGTGAGACAGGCAAGAGGATCCATTGAGCAAGAGTACCAGCCTCTGCAACTGTCCAATAGATTGGAGGTTCTCTTGGTCGAGCTGGATAAGCACCACGGTACAGAAAGCCATTCAAATGGGAGATGCAACAAGGAATGTAGAGTAGTGGTAATAGTAAATGGTACAGTGTAGTCAGGGTGGATTTACACCACTGTTTGCAGCAAAAGCTAGAGTCCAGACAGCTTGTTTAGAGACAAAACAAAACTGCAGACGCTGGAATTCAAAGTAGATAAACAGGATGCTGTAAGAACACAGCAAGCCAGGCTGCATCGGGAAGAAAGGAGAAGTCAACATTTTGGGTATTACCCTTCTTCAGGGCAGCTTGTTGCCTGCCTGGTACCAGATTTCAGTCTAGCAACACAAGAGACATTCAAACAGAAACATGAACAGACAGGGAAGAGAGGGATAAAGATCATGTGCAGGCAGATAGGCTGAAGATCTTGTTCCCGAGTTGTACTGTTCTATGTTACGTTATCTATCCGCTCAGGGCTGGAAAGGAATTTGCAATGTGAGGGACAGCATCCAGTTGTCATGGTCCTTGGAAGTTTATAAAATAATGAGAAGTATAAATAGAGTTAATAGTAGTTGTTTTTTTTTCCCCTGGGATGGGTATTTCAAGACTGGGGGCACATTTTAAGGTGAGAAGAGAGATTTTAAAAAAAAAGACATGAAGGGCAACTTTTTTTTCCAGAGGGCGGTTCATGTGTGGAATGAACTTCCCGAGGAAGTGGTGCATGTGAGTATAATTCCAACATCTAAAAGACATTTGGATGGATATATGAATAGGAAAGGTTTGGAGGGGTATGGGCCAGGAGCAGGCAGGTGGGACTAGTTCAGTTTGGGATTATGTTTGGCATGGACTGGTTGGACCAAACAGTCTGGTTCCATGCTGTATGACTCCATGTAGGAACCAATGATTTAGGGAAAGAGGGCCTACATAGAGTACGAAGAGTTGGACAACAAATTACAAAGCAAAAGCTCAAAAAGGTTATCACCTCTATTACTTGAGCTATATGCAAATTGGAATAGTATTAGAATGATGAATACACAGCTTTGACTGTTAAATCAGAAATTTACCAATGGTCTATCAAAACTAAAATATTTCCACTGGGAGATAATTAAAAGCATCACTTATTACAGGCCTGTTCAGTACTGAGACATGTAAATCAAGTCTGTACTTAAATGATAAAGAAGTCTCTTATTAACCCCATTGGCCAAACTCCTTGAAGTGATGTCAGAAATTATATAACGAGGGGCATAGCAAAGGTCTTTTCTGTTGGGTTGGGGAGTTCAAAATTAGAGGGCATAGGTTTAAAGTGAGGGGAAAAGAATTTAAAAGGGATCTGAGGAGCAACTTTTTCCACAGGGTGGTTCGGATATGGAACAAACTGCTAGAGGAAGCTACAACATTTAAGACATTTGGAAAGGTGCATGAATAGAAAAGGTTTAGATGGCTATGGGCCAAATGGTTTAATTTAGTTTGGAAAACTTGGCTGGCATGGATGAGTTGGATCAAAGGGTCTGTTTCCATGCTGTATGACTCTGACTAACAGCTGAGTTTTATTTCTATTTTGTGGGAAGAGGCAGATGGAGATGCTGAACAGACATTTGTCTCATGTTGAGAAGACTGATTTCAAGCCACATTAATACCCATGATATTTACTGCAGCTGTTTATTACTGCCACTTTTGGGGATCTTATTCCACAACTCCATCCATAAGTCATTACAGTCAGTGGGGGAAAAATGAAAAGTAGAACTGGATTTACAATCGAATCAGAGATAGTAGGAACTGCAGATGCTGGAGAATCCGAGACAACAAGGTGCAGGGCTGGATGAACACAGCAGGCCAAGCAGCATCATAGGAGCAGAGAGGCTGACGTTTCGGGCCTAGACCCTTCATCAGAAAAGGGGG